TATACTATTGGACCAATCAGAGGCGTTAGGTGATGCTGTAAATGTATAGGAGTGAAATGTTCTCTTATAGAAATTCGCTTATAGTTTATTATTATTATTATTATTATTATTATTATTATTATTATTATTTTATCTTTAGTCGTATTATCTATGTCACATTTGTTACTGTTACTACATATTTATATCCTTAAAGCTCTTTCTTCTTATAGAGTTATAGCATTTATATCGTCTATAGCCTGTAGCCAATCAGGGGCCCGGATGATGCTACGAGTAATATATACGCATCAAGGAAGAGAATTGGAAACTATACACGAATAATTCTCCTTATTATCTTTATTCTTTTCACAAACTATTTTTTCTAAGTTTATTCTTATTGATGACTAATTGCTATTTGTTTTTGTATAATTTGTTAATATATTTCTCGAGTCTTAAAGTCTTTTCTGAGACGCTATAAGATCAGTGGTACCCTCACTTGTACACATGTGACCCTGGGGCCAAAGGTTACTTGTCAGGGGGTCGTTAGTGAGTGAATGGGTGAGTGAAGAGTGTGTGTGTGTGTGTGTGTGTGTGTGTGTGTGTGTGTGTGTGTGTGTGTGTGTGTGTGTGTGTGTGTGTGTGTGTGTGTGTGTGTGTGTGTGTGTGTGTGTGTGTGTGTGTGTGTGTGTGTGTGTGTGTGTGTGTGTGTGTGTGTGTGTGTGTGTGTGTGTGTGTGTGTGTGTGTGTGTGTGTGGGTGTGTGTGTGTGTGTGTGTGTGTGTGTGTGTGTGTGCTAGAGTAAGTGAAACGTGGGTAACCAGCACTGTAGACTTAACTCACACTGTCTCTGCCTATTATTCTTATTATTATTATTATTTTATTATTATTATTATTATTATTATTATTATTATTATTATTATTATTATTATTATTATTATTATTATTATTACTATTGTTGTTGTTGTTGTTGTTGTTGCTGTAAGGTCGTCCTAAGGACAGATATCAATCATTTAACAAGACTCACTTCATAATAATAAGTAATAATCCATCTTTATTACACCCCCACGAATGGTATGTGTATGATTATGTGTATGCGTATTGTATATGTGTATGATTGTGTGTGTATGGCAACCTGTGGTGTAATGGTCAGCATTGTCGCTCGCAAGCGAGCGGACCTGGTTCGATCCCCGGGCAGGTGAACTATGGGTAAGTTTCTTTACGCCATTTGCCTCTGTCTACCCAGCAGTAATTGGGGACCTGGATGTTAATCGATTTTGGATCGTGTTCCGGGGTAATGGTTAGCCAGTGCAGTTGGTGAGTTGTCCGGTCTTCTGACTATTCACTAACACTGGTCATGCAGCCCGTTAACTCAGGGTGTGGTTGTTGTGTTGTGAAAGCCACACCTTAAAGAAATTCACTCCCAGGTGGCCCTTGGGCGGCCATCCTCGTTACACGAGGGGCAACCATTATTATGTGTATGATTATGTGTTTATGTATGTGGGTGCTGTATGTGTACGTTGGTGTATGATTTGAATAATGACCTCTTATTGTAATTGTGTTATTTAGGTATATTCTGGGGAAAGAGGGCCACCTGTCTATCTGGTCCCTGTCTGTATGCCTGTCTCTATCTGTCTGTCTGTCTGTCTGTCTGTCTGGTCCCTGTCTGTCTGCCTGTCTCTATCTGTCTGTCTGTCTGGTCCGCTGTCTGTGTGCCTGTCTCTATCTGTCTGTCTGTGTGCCTGTTCCCTATCTGTCTGTCTGGTCCCTGTCTGTCTGCTCTGTCTCTCTATCTGTCCGTCTATCTGGTCCGGTCTCTGTCTGCCTGTCTTCATCTGTCTGTCTGGTCCCTGTCTGTATGCCTGTCTCTATCTGTCTGTCTGGTACCTGTCTGTATGCCTGTCTCTATCTGTCTGTCTGGTCCCTGTCTGTGTGCCTGTTCTAACTGTCTGTCTGGTACCTGTCTGTGTGCCTGTCTCTATCTGTCTGTCTGGTCCCGCTCTGTATGCCTGTTCTCCATCTGTCTGTCTGGTACCTGTCTGTACGCCTGTCTCTATCTTCTGTCTGGTCCCTGTCTGTGTGCCTGTCTCTATCTGTCTGTCTGGTCCCTGTCTGTCTGCCTGTCTCTATCTGTCTATCTGGTCCCTGTCTGTATGCCTGTTCTATCTGTCTGTCTGTCTGGTCCTCCCAATTGTCTGCTCGTTCCATCTGTCTGTTCCCTGTCTGTCTGCCTGTCCCTATCTGTCATCTGGTCCCTGTCTGTATGCCTGTTCATCTGTCTGTCTGGTCCCTGTCTGTCTGCCTGCTCCATCTGTCTATCTGGTTCCTGTCTGTCTGCCTGTCTCTGTCTGTCTATCGGCCCTGTCTGTCTGCCTGTCTCTCTATCTGTCTGTCTGGTCCCTGTCTGTGCTGCCCTCTATTCGTCTGTCTGTCTGTCTGTCTGGTCCCTGTCCGTCTGCCTGTCTCTATCTGTCTGTCTGTCTGGTCCCTGTCTGTGTGCCTGTCTCTATCTGTCTGTCTGTATGCCTGTCTCTATCTGTCTATCTGGTCCCTGTCTGTATGCCTGTCTCTCATCTGTCTGTCTGGTCCCTGTCTGTATGCCTGTCTCTATCTGTCTATCTGGTTCCTGTCTGTCTGCCTGTCTCTGTCTGTCTATCTGGTCCCTGTCTGTCTGCCTGTCTCTATCTGTCTGTCTGGTCCCTGTCTGTGTGCCTGTCTCTATCTGTCTGTCCGTCTGTCTGTCTGGTCCCTGTCTGTCTGCCGGTCTCTCATCTGTCTGTCTGTCTGGTCCCTGTCTGTGTGCCTGTCTCTCATTTGTCTGTCTGTATGCCTGTCTCTCATCTGTCTATCTGGTCCCTGTCTGTATGCCTGTTCTATCTGTCTGTCTGTCTGGTCCCTGTCGTATGCCTGTCTCTATCCGTCTATCTGGTCCCTGTCTGTATGCCTGTCTCTATCTGTCTGTCTGTCTGGTCCCTGTCTGTGCCTGTCTTATCTGTCTATCTGGTCCTGTCTGTATGCCTGTTCTCATCTGTCTGTCTGTTTGGTCCGTCTGTATGCCTGTTCTCTATCTGTCTGTCTGGTCCCTGTCTGCATGCCTGTCTATCTGTCTGTCTGGTCCCTGTCTGTAGCTGCCTGTCTCTATCTGTCTGTCTGGTCCCTGTCTGTCTGCCTGTCTCCTATCTGTCTGTCTGTCTGGTCCGGTTCAGGCCTGTCTCTGTCTGTCTGTCTGGTCCCTGTCTGTATGCTCGTCTCTATCTGTCTGTCTGGTCCCTGTCTGTCTGCCTGTCTCTATCTGTCTGTCTGGTCCCTGTCTGTATGCCTGTCTCTATTCGTCTGTCTGTCTGGTCCCTGTCTGTCTGCCTGTTCTCTATCTGTCTGTCTATCTGGTCCCTGTCTGTATGCTCTGTCTCTATCTGTCTGTCTGTCTAGTCCCTGTCTGTCTGCCCTGTCTCTATCTGTCTGTCTGTCTGGTCCCTGTCTGTCTGCCTGTCTCCATCTGTCTGTCTATCTGGTCCCTGTCTGTATGCCTGTCTCTATCGTCTGTCTGTCTGGTCCCTGTCTGTCTGCCTGTCTCTATCTGTCTGTCTGTCTGGTCCCTGTCTGTCTGCTGCCTGTCTCTATCTGTTCGTCTGTCTGGTCCCTGTCCGTCTGCCTTCGTCCCTATCTGTCGTTCATCTGGTCCCTGTCTGTATGTCCTGTCCCTATCTGTCTGTCTGTCTGGTCCCTGTTAGTGTGCCTGTCTCTATCTGTCTGTCTGTCTGGTCCCTGTCTGTATGCCTGTCTCTATCTGTCTGTCTATCTGGTCCCTGTCTGTCTGCCTGTCTCTCTATCTGTCTATCTGGTCCCTGTCTGTCTGCCTGTCTCTGTCTGTCTGTCTGTCCCTGTCTGTATGCCTCTGCTCCCTATCTGTCTGTCTGTCTGGTCCCTGTCTGTGTGCCTGTCTCTATCTGTCTGTCTGGTCCCTGTCTGTCTGCCTGTCTCTATCTGTCTGTCTGTCTGGTCCCTGTCTGTGTGCCTGTCTCATCTGTCTGTCTGGTCCCTGTCTGTCTGCCTGTCTCTATCTGTCTGTCTGGTCCCTGTCTGTCTGCCTGTCTCTATCTGTCTATCTGGTCTCTGGTTCGTCTGCCTGTTCTCTATCTGTCTGTCTGGTCGAGAGAGTTATTATTGATGATCATAAGCTGACATGTTCTGTCGTGAGGTGCCTCAACCTTTTGGGCGTATTGGCTGTTGTCTGTTGATTTCTCTGATTATTGTTTTTCTTTTTTGATCTCTTGTTTCTTTGGTTTTCTGTGAATATGCGTATGAGAGAGAGAGAGAGAGAGAGAGAGAGAGAGAGAGAGAGAGAAGAGAGAGAGAGAGAGAGAGAAACCCTGCGGAAAAAATAAATAAAAACATTGTGTGAACGTCGCCTTAACACTTAAATCAATTCTCCTGTTGGAAGGTTGACACGTATGAGCAGGAGAATAACCCTCCCCCCACCACCACTGTATACACACATCACCCACACCTTCTTCAGCACAGCGTCAGGTGGGTAATGGGTTACCCTCCTACAAGTTACTTCCTCTACTGACCCATATAGCGGGTTGGTTCATGGGGTATTTCCCTTGACACTGGCTTGTGCCTATAGGGCACTCTTGACATGTGCCCTGGTGCTTGTGGTGGGTACTCTGAGACATGTGCCCTGGTGCCTGTTGGGTACCTTGGACATGTGCCGACACGTGCTGGGGTGCCTGTAGGTAGTCTTGGGACACGTGCTGGGGTGCCTGTAGGGCACCCTTGGACACGTGCTGGGGGTGCCCAGGGTGGTAGTCTGACACGCTGGGGTGCCTGTGGTGGGTAGTCTTGGACACGTGCTGGGGTGCCCAGGGTAGTCTTGGGACACGTGCCAGTGCCTGTAGGGACTCTGACACGCATAGTACCTGTAGGTACCTGATATGTGTTCTGTGCCTGTAGGTACCTGGACACGTGCTAGTGCCTGTAGGCAATTTTGGACACGTGCTGGGGTGCCCAGGGTACTCTAGACACGTGCTAGGTGCCTGTGGTGGCAATTTTGGACATGTGCCCCTGGGTGCCTGTGGTGGCACTCTGACATAAAGCCCTGGTGCCTGTGGTGGGTACCTGGACACGTGCTGGGGGTGCCTGTGGTGGGGCACTCTTGGACACGTGCTGGGGGTGCCCAGGTGGGTACCCAGACACGTGCTGGGGGTGCCTGTAGGCACTCTTGGACACGTGCTGGGTTGCCTGTGGTGGCACTCTTGGACACGTGCTGGGGTGCCTGTAGGGATTCTTGACACGTGCTGGAGTGCCTGTGGTGGGGTACCTGGACACGTGCTGGGTGCCTGTAGGGTAGTCTGGACCACGTGCTGGGGTGCCTGTAGGGGGACTTTGGACGCTGGGGTGCCTGTGGTGTGGCACGGACATGTGTCTCTGTGCCTGTGGTGGTACTTGGACACGTGCCCTGGTGCCTGTGGTGGGTAATTCTGACACGTGCTGGGGTGCCTGTAGGGTAATTCTTGACACGTGCCCTGCGCTTGTAGGTACTCTTGACATGTGTTCTGGTGTCTGTGGGTACTCTGGACACGTGCCCTGGTGCCTGTGGTGTACCTTTGGACGCGTGCTAAAGCCAGGTGGTGGGTACTCTTGGACATGCCCTGGTGCCTGTGGTGGGGTACTCTTGACACGTGCTGTGGTGCCTGTGGTGGGTACCTTTTGGACACGTGCTGGGCTTGCCTGTAGGGGTGCTCTGGACGTGATGGGGTGCTTGTAGGGTACTCTTGGACACGTGCTGGGTGCCTGTGGTGGCACTCTTGGACACACGTGCTGGGGTGCCTGTGAGGGTAGTCTTGACACGTGCTGGGGGTGCCTGTGGTGGGGACTCTTGACACGTGCTGGGGTGCCTGTGAGGGGACTCTGACACGCCCTGGTGCCTATAGTGGGTACTTGGGACACGTGCCCTGGTGCCTGTGGTGGGTAATTTGGACACGTGCTGGGTGCCCAGGTGGGCACTCTTGACATGTCTGGTGCCTGGGTGGTGGGAGAGCCTTTGGACACGTGCCCCTGGTGCCTGTGTGGGTACTCTGGACACGTGCTGGGGTGCCTGTGTGGGTATTCTGACAGGCCTATGCCTGTGGTGGGTACTCTGACACGTGCTGCGCCTGTAGGCACCTTGGCTCATGGGTTCTGGTGTCTGTAGGGTACTCTTGACACGTGCCAGTGCCTGTAGGGTAGTCTTGACACGTGCTGGGGTGCCCAGGGCACTCTTGACACGCGTCTCTGGTGCCTGTAGGGTAATTTTGGACACGTGCTGGGGGTGCCAGGTGGCACTCTTGGACACGTGCTGGGGTGCCTAGGCAGTCTTGGAAACGTGCTGGGGTGCTCAGGGTAGTCTTGGACACGCATAGTGCCTGTGGTGTGGGGTAGTCTTGAGCACGTACAAGTGCCTGTGGTGGTAGCCCTGGGACACGCGGGGTGCCTGTGGTGGGTAGTCTGGATATGTGTGCTGGGGTGCCTGTGGTGTGGGTAGCCTGGACACGTGCTGGGGTGCCTGTAGGGTGGGTCTTGGACACGTGCTGGGGTGCCTGTGGTGGGCAGTCTTGATACGTGCTAGTGCCTGTAGGTACCTCTGACGTGCTGGGGTGCCTGTAGGGTAGTCTTGACACGTGGCTGGTGCCTGTGGTGTTAGTCTTGACATGTGCTGGGTGCCTGTAGGGGACTCTGGACACGTGCTGGGTGCCTGTGGTGGGTAGTCTTGGACACGCATGGGTGCCTGTAGGGTAGTCTGGACACGTGCTGGGGTGCCTGTGGTGGGACTCTGGACACGCTGGGTGCCTGTAGGAGAATACTCTGCACGTGTTGGGGTGCCTGTGGGTAGTCTTGGACACGTGCTGGGGTGCTCAGGTGGGTAGTCTTGATATGTGCTGGGTGCCTGTGGTGGGGACTCCTTGGACACGTACAAGCCTGGGTGGTGGGGACTCTTGGACACGTGCTGGGTGCCTGTAGGGACTCTTGGACACGTGCTGGGGGTGCCTGTGGTGGGTACTCTTGGGACACGTGCTGGGGTGCCTGTAGGTAGTCTTGGACACGTGCTGGGGGTGCCTGTGGTGGGGACTCTGGGACACGTGCTGGGGTGCCTGTGGTGGGGTACTCTTGACACGTGCTGGGGTGCTCTGTGGTGGTAGTCTTGACACGTGCTGGGTGCCTGTGGTGGGTACCTGGACACGTGCTGGGGTGCCTGTGGTGGCACTTTGGACATGTGCCCTGGTGCCTGTAGGGTAGTCTTGGACAATGCTGGGGTGCCTGTGGTGGGGACTCTTGGGGACACGTGCTGGGGGGTGCCTGTGGTGGGTGGGTACTGGTGAGTCACCCAAGCGTCTCCCTGGTGGACATCACGCTGAGGTCTTGTTCTCATAACGGCGTCAGCTGCCCAGAGGACAGACGGGTGAGTGTCTCGGTGTTGTAAGGTGGGTCATCTGCGACTGTATCTCTCCCATTAAACTGGGTGGACTGGGAGTGCCCGGGATCGAACCATAACATAGGAGGCGAGCACTGTATCCCTTAACCGCCGCACACCAATTTATTGTACATTCGGTTAAATTAAATTCAGGTGGAATTTTGCTTTACAGCCATTAGAAAAATAATACAGAAATATATAATTACTTGTATCAAGACTTCAGTAGACACAGTAATATGTCGACTACTGTTCTGTTCTTATTGATTGATTCTAAGTGTAACTCAAAAGCCAGGTCAGGTCAACAAGACGTTCACCGTTAGTGCCAGTTTTCACTTAGTTGTTACGTCTACAATTAATCTTGTTATGTCTTGATATTGACTCCAGTAAACAAGGTTACCGAGGATAATATTAACCCGTTGTCTGAGATGTAAGTGGCGTTATCAGTTTACGACGCTGTATAACGCTTTATTGCTGCTGCTGCTGTGTGTGTGTTTTACAGCGACTGGAAGGCTCGTGCAGCACCTCTGGTTATGATCGTCGCTACTGCAGGAACAGCTACGAATAGTGCGTTTAACTCGTCTCCCCGACACAGTTTATCGTCCCACAACTGCCACTGATCATATGATTATCCATCTACTTTGTTACACTGTCGCGCCGTTGAACTAACTGTGAGGAGTCGTCAAGCTTCTCTGACCACACCGCCTCGACCATGACCACCTACTGATGGTGTACTTACCCGTCGACTTTGCGAGACTTGGCCACAACACAGGCGATACAGATTACGTATTTACTCACCTACTTTCCGAGACTTACTGTTTACCTCTCACTCTTGGGGAATATATTATAATACCATCGCCACTAATTCCATCACCCGCCGCTCCCCTCACCTTCTCTCCTCGAATTTACGATGACTCTTTACGTAAAAAATATATATATATAGAAAAAAATTATCTCGTCGCTCGTCTCTCCACTTTACGACGACACCGCAAACATTCATCTTCTCTTGTTCACCACAGTTTACGATGACATCTTGTTTACATATCCCTGTGTAGGTGGTGTGTCAGGGTAGGTGGATGGGATGGGATGGGGTTGGTGGTATGTCCGGGTGGGTGGGTGGGGGTGGGTGGGTGGGTGGGTTTAGTTCTCCTGCCCTGCCAATATGCTTACGACCTTCTCCGTCCCTCTCTCACGGGCCATTTATCCTGACGTGTAGAGGCTGGAGGCGTCACTGTGTATTAACAAGACAAGGTGATGAGGGGGGTATGGTCCCTCAGTTTGGGTGATGAATATTAATCTTGAGTCAGTGGTGACTGTGAGTGAGGAGGAGTGGAGTGGGTGAGGGAGGTGGTGGTGAGTGGTGGTGACTGTGGTGAGTGGAGTGAGTGATGAGTGAGTGAGGGTGAGTGAGTGGTGGTGAGGTGAGGTGAGTGAGTGAGTGAGTGAGTGACTGTGGTGGGGAGGGTGAGTGGTGGTGGTGGTGGTGAGTGACTGTGGTGAGGAGGAGGTGAGTGGTGAGGAGAGTGAGTGAGTGATGAGTGTTTAAGTGAATGGGTGATTGATTAATTGATTGATTGACTGCGTGGGTGAGTTGCTGAATTAGTTGACGGATAATGTGCTGACTGACTGAATCACAGCCCGAGAGAACTGGCCCCTCTGACTCACCTCACTGTACTTGTTAACTGACTCGCTGTGTCTCGCCTACCACCCCCATGGTAAAACATTTATCATGTTTCAATAATTTATTTAGAGTAATTTTGTGGGTAAGGGCAGAAAAGACCTGATTTTCTCGTAAAACTTCCATATTCTGTACATCCGAATGTCGTCACGGCATCACAAGACACCATTCATATCCTCACGAAATCACTATATTTTTTCCTGTCTTTAGAGATCTTGCCTCCGAAATCTGACCCTCCTCCTCCTCCTTCTCTTCTTTCTCCTCCTTTTCCTCCTCCTCCTCCTCCTCCTCCTCCTTCTCCTCCTCCTCTTCCTCCTCTTTCTCCCCCTCCCCCTGTTTCTCTTCCTCCTCCCTCTCTTTCTCCTCCCTCCTCCTCTCTTTCTCTTCTCCTCCTCCTCCTCCTCTTCCTCCTCCTCCTCCTCCTCCTCCTCCTCCTCCTCCTCCTCCCCTCTTTCTCCCCTCCCCTTTTCCCCCTCCCCCCTCTTTCTCTTCCTCCTCCCTCTCTTTCTCTCCCCCCTCCTCCTTAACCCTCCCTACTTGTGACAGGAGCAACTCACTCCCTGCACACGTCTCCTCTCTGCATGTAACTTTCAGGTCTCATACAGGAAGGCAGAACCTCCTGACGTCTTGTGGTTGATATTTGTTTCTTCTAAAACTGACGGAGAGGCCTGCTTCAGTGTGGGTGGTGAGGACACGGTCACTCTGAGCCTCGTGTTCACCTCTTGATGAGTCAGTCATTTAAGAGAAGAATTGATAGTAAAGTTCAGTAATAATAAAAAGGAAGCGTCAACCTAGGTATTGAAGTCTCCCCAGCGCCGTCTCTATGATGACGGAGGACCAGAACCTGAGACTCCGGGATCTTATGTTTACATTTTCAGCGTTTGTCATTGTTCTCGCTGGTGACGCGTCTTCCAGAAGGAGGGTGGGGGAGGGCACACTCTTAAATAAATTAGAATGGTGTGAGAATCACTACCCCAGAAAACAGCGCATTTACACCCGAATTTGCCTTTCTCATCCGGTGACGAGCGCCTGCTGCTGCTGGCGAGTTACAGTGCTGAGTGAGAATTTATTATTAATTTCATGAATAATAACAAACGTCCCAGAGCAGCCACTCAGATGTGATGGCGCTCGTCTGACACGTCCAGGCACTTAGTGTTTAGTGCCAGGATACACTGACTGGTGGTGGTGAGGGTGTTAGTTCTGGGGGTGATGGTGGTGCAGGTGGTGATGGTGCAGAGGTGGGGTAATGATGGTGATGATGGTTATGATAGTGGTGATGGCAATTATGGTGATGGAACTGAGGTTTGGTGATATTAATAATGTTGTTAGTGATGCTAATGATGACGTAAGTAGTGATGGTGATAATGAGGTATGCACAATGAGTGGTGACCAGCGGGTATTGGGGGGGGAGTGAAGGCTGTTGGCGCTGGTCACTACTGGCTGTTGACGCTCGTGACGTGTGGTGGTTCAGAGGAGAGTATGACGTCATGTGACTTTGAAGGTGGAGAAATGAATCAATCTACGCATTCGGTAGTGAACGTTTTAACATGTTTTCATTTCTGTCCATAAGTGTCCCACAGGCATGGCGCCAATTGGGGCAGTGGATACAGCATGTACTCAGGCCACTGCACTCGACCACCTTCACTTCACTTATACCGTGAGTTAGGTTCTGGGTGGACTAGGATCTCCACTGACCGCCTCACCCTCACTCCATCACGGCCACCACGTATCTCACAGTGTTGACTCATCCACTGCTGTATCGTGATGCCAGTGAGTCAACCTCTCTACTCATCAAGTGAATGAGTTATATGGGGTATTTATTTTATACTCATCTAAGAAACTAAGGTAAAAAGAACAGGTTAGATAAGATATAGACGGGAGGAATTCTCAAATCTTATAATTATGAATCGCAAATCTTAATGCTTGCTTGACGGGAGTAAGTAGTGACAACACCTCAACACTGCCACCCCACCTTATTTTATCTTAAGATTAACCTAACCTAACCTAACCTAACCTAATCCTAACCTAAACCTAGCCCAACCTAACCCAACCTAACCCAACCTAACCTACCCTACTTCCTTAACCTCTCCCCCAGGGAGTGTTAGGCGTGCTTAATCATCAGGTAATTTAAGCTGGAAGAGGCCGGGGTGAGGGGGTGATGGGGGCTACATAAGGTGGCCCTCAAAAAAACACTAATGATTTTGTGGAGATAATATGGACGACACAGACCAATGACTGTCTTCCATCATGTTATTTTTCCCTCTTGTCTTCCATCATGTTATTTTCCTCTTGTCTTCCATCATGTTATTTTCCTCTTGTCTTCCATCATGTTATTTTCCTCTTGTCTTCCATCATGTTATTTTCCCCTCTGTCTTCCATCATGTTATTTTCCTCTTGTCTTCCATCATGTTATTTTCCTCTTGTCTTCCATCATGTTATTTTCCCTCTTGTCTTCTTCCATCATGTTAAGACTCTTATTAATATTTCTTCCCTCTTGTGTGTGTTTGTTTGTCTGTTTGTCTGGTACTTTTATTGGTTTTATATTATTGTAAAGAAAAACGGTTATTCTATCTGTCTACCCCCTGATCCTCCACTCCTGATCCTCCACCCCTGATCCTCCCTCCCTGATCCTCCACTCCCTGGTGCTCCACCCCTGATCCTCCACTCCCTGGTGCTCCACCCTCTGGATCCTCCACTCCCTGGTCCTCCTCTCCCTGGTGCTCCACCCCTGATCCTCCACCCCTGGCTCCACCCCTGATCCTCCACTCCTGATCCTCCACTCCCTGGTCCTCCACTCCCTGGTCCTCCACTCCCTGGTCCTCCACTCCCTGGTCCTCCACTCCCTGGTCCTCCACTCCCTGATCCTCCACTCCCTGGTCCTCCACCCTGGTCCTCCACTCCCTGGTCCTCCACCCCTGGTCCTCCACTCCCTGGTCCTCCACTCCCTGGTCCTCCACTCCCTGGTCCCACCCCCTGGTCCTCCACCCCTGGTCCTCCCCCCCTGGTCCTCCACCCCCTGGTCCTCCACCCCCTGATCCTCCACTCCCTGGTCCTCCACCCTTGGTCCTCCACTCCTGGTCCTCCACTCCCTGGTCCTCCACTCCTGGTCCTCCACTCCCCCTGGTCCCTCCACTCTGGTCCTCCAGTCCCTTATCCTCCACTCCCTTGTCCTCCACTCCCTGGTCCTCCCTCACTCCCGGTCCCTCCACCCCTGGTCCTCCACTCCCTGATCCTCCACCCCTGGTCCTCCACTCCCTGTTCCCTCCACTCCCTGATCCTCCAC